TCCCTGCGTTTCCGCGCTCCGGCCGCCTCCCGCGGCCCGGCGCGAAGGTTCCGCCGCACGGTGCGCCCCCCGCGGGCCCAGCAGCGGACTCCAAGGATTTAATATATATGTTTATCTATACGTTTATGCTTATTCCGCTCGTAATGACGATGGAGCAGGTCTTGTGTAAATGGTGAGGTAAAAAGCGCCTTTCTTCTGCCAAACTGAGGTCCCACTCCAGCCTTCCCTTCCTTTTCTGAGCATATCTTTCTATAAACTCCTGACACTCCAATAACAATAAAGCAATTTATATATGTATATATAGCATAACTAATGGATAGTTGTACCCATTTGTTACATTTTGGGCAACGTGAGGGGTGAACGTTCGCGCCGCATGTGTGGTTTTACCCGCACGTTGAAGCGTGTCCTTGATTTTCCAGGACATCCCAACCAGCCTCCCATTTTGTGGCGTTGTGCGGAGCTCGGGCCCCGCCGCCAGGAAAGGCGCTCGGAAGCGGCAATTCCCGCAGCGCAAAGCAGAGGACGCGGCATTAGAAGGGACGGTTGTGACCCCGCTACTCACACCCGCACTCACTGGCTCAGGGCCCAAGGGTCCCAGGGACGGGGACCTCCCATCCCGGTGTGACCTGCTCCTCCTGTGGGGGAAAAGGAGTCTCCCCAAGGCCGCTCCGAGCCCCCCGGCCGCCATCCGTGGCGCTGCCCCTTGTTATGTCACCTGCTTGGATCCATCCGTCCCCATTCCTGGATCGTCCCACAACCAACCGCTGGGTTTTCAAGGCATCAGAGACCCGGCTTGTCTCCAAGACAGAGCTTTAGGGCTGTGTTTTAATCTTACTTGTGATTTATACGTTGTGCAGGGGCTCGATAAAAAGAAAGGCAAACAGCTCCGGTGGGAACCTGCTTTTTAGGAGCAGTGAATTTTACTTTGGGACAGGCCGTCGCTAAACATCATCTCCCAAGTACACGAGCAGCAGATTCTTCTTGCAGGCACATGAGAATTTTGTAGCTGTTGGATACAGTAACTTGGGGAACAGATCTGCTGCTTCTGATCTAATCTCAGGTAAAAAAGTAAAATAAAATAACGCTAAATTCCCTTCTTACACCCCATCTAGCTCAGGCTGAAACCCAGGCAGCCTCCCCGGTGATGCAAATGGGATCCACTCACCACCACAGCAGTGACACGATGTCACTAAATTCATGCAAAAAAAAAAATTCAGGTTCTCAAAATCAAGATTTTCCCAAGGTACCTACTAAGTAGTTTTGGGTGGCTCCTTTTTTTTTTTTTGATTAATAAAATCCACATTAAAAACAAAAAGACTTTAAGGTGTTTGGAAATTACCTCAGTACTTGAGCAGCACTGCAGGTTTCCCCCTTTTCCTTCTACATGCTTCTAAAGCATTTCCGAATAAAAAACGTATTTAATCAAAGAATTAATATGTGTCAACATCGAAAAATACCTATTGACTTACGGAAGGTCTCCCTTTTTCTGCTGCTTCTGCAATCTTCGTTAGTAAATAAAATTATAATTTTTAGGCATTTTATTTTTCTTTTGCATGTCATCAGTTCCCCTTTGATGCTGTATAAAATGAACAGGATAAAATCAGGGATGCCAACAGCTTTTGTTATTAATTTGAGGCTTACGCTATTTTTTGTAATCACCTCTCTGGAACAAAAAAAGAGGATAAAAAAAAAGAGGAGAAAAAGGATAATCATTCATTCAGCTGCCTGCATTTCAGGCACTAGGCAAACACTATTGCGTTTGAATTACTGATGCTGCCGGAAAATATTTAGGACCTTTCTGGGTTTTTTTGTTGCTGTTGTTTCTCCCACTCTTGAAAAAACGCCATCTGTTTTGTCGCAATCAAGGATAACAAAAACCACACTGCTGGAAAGTACTTACAGCATTTTTATGATAGATGCAATTTATTTTTTTCGGGCAGGGCGGTGTGGGGGAAGCCAGGCAGGGCCGGTTTAAAGGCAAGGCTGACACACTTTTGCTTTTTATTTTTCTTTTTCACTGCGCAGAATGCCCAAGTTAAACAACCTCTTAGTTTCTCTGGGCATCAAGATACAGTTATTTCTTTCTTTCTTTTTTTTTTTTTTTAAAGTGCATCTGCCGTGTCTCCCCGCAAGCCCTTAGGGCCAAGGGAGACTCTTAGCGCCGGCGACGCTCCAAGAAACGGTTGGGGGCCGTTGGGGCTCGCTGGGGGCCACTGAGACTGTTGGGGCCAGTCGGGGGCTGTTGAGGACGCTGGGGCCGGTTGGGGGCCACTGTGGCTGTTGGGGACGGGTGGGGGCCGGTGGGGGCGGCTGGGGGCGGGTGGGGGGCG